GCCAAGTGGGTGCAGGGCTTCCATGCAGGTCGGGGGCCTCTACTGGAATCGTCGAACCAAAGTGCAGCTAGTGCCAAAAGGGTCCTGACTTCACTGGCCATTGCATGCCCTCGCCCACCACCGTGCTAAACTGTGCACTCTTTGTGCCCTCGTGGGCAATGCCAGCATCGGAACATGAATTCGAAGAAATTGATCAGGCTGTGCCTTCAGGCACCCGAGATCCAATTAGCTCCATGCTTCATCCCATATGACCTTGCAGACTTACTCTACGACTAAACCGACTCTGTATCAGTAGAAACCCACTACGCTCTCTCTCGCCCTCTCTCGCTGAGAGTCTCCAAAAAAAACATCACCTCACAGCTTTGGTCTTTGCGGAGGATCTGTCCAGCGGACTGGCCTCGCACTGAAGGGTTTAAGGGTTTAATATATAGGGGCCTAAATAATTACATATACTATTTTGGGGGGTTCCTTATTAAAAAGTATAGTATACTGAAGAAACAGCCAAGAAGAAGCCATCAAAAGATCGCATCACTTAGGAACTGTGTTTAGGTTTAGGGTTGAGGATCCATGCTTGACACTCTGACCAGTGATCCCTATATGAATCTAGGACGGGCCATTAATCAGCGGTCTGCATGACATAGAGCTTTTTGGTAATCGGATTCTCCTGACAAAATTCGGTCCCATCCTCCTTGGACAAGCAGATGATGAAAACCTTGGAGCCTTACCTCCCACACACCTCTGAAGATGTAAAGATCCGTGTCGGGTAGCATCAGCAATCTCGGCTTGCCTCAAGACTCTCTAGAACCGCTTTTGAACTTCGATATATTTCACACAGTTTCATCAGCCCGCAAAGGGGCGCTTACAGCATCTTTTCTACAACCCCTTACGATAAGCCCTAGCATAACCCATAGCGTAAATTTATCCCTGAGTACCCCTTGCCTTACATTTAGCTTGAATTATAACATCGCTCAAAGTAACCCTTACGGTAACCCCTCCTCGAAGCAGATGAAGAGCACATGCTGGGTGCCCTCGAGCCGCGCGAAGCTGAGAACCTGACAGGTTCAAGGCTGCGTCCATGTTTGTTTGTATATATGTATACACAGTAGATATGTAGTAGAAGTATCAAGACATATTGAAAAACGTGTGTGTGTGTGTGTACATATATATATATATACATGTAAAGTCGAATGTAAGCAGAATATTTTAATCTGTACATATACATCTATACTATACTCTATATGTACACACATGTCTGTATATACATATTCGTAACATATATGTATATATATATATACACATGTGTGTATATATATATATATAAGTGAATTCTCACACACATGCTTCAGCCACAACCACAAACCGAAACGAACGCAGCCCTGCGTTTTAGCGAAAGCTAGGATTCAAGTTGCACAGCACGGCTTTCGCTGTACACAATGGGTTGACAAGCCACAGCTTCCCATAAGCGTGGCTCTGTAGCATGAGGCGTTGGCTCAACAATTCAAAATCTGCAACAAGTACTGGATTACGCGCCTGTGCTGTACAAGCACCACTACAGAAGGTTGGCAAATAAGGCATCGGGGGCTTGTGTTGTACAAGCACCCCGCGTGCTCTCAAAAAGTTGTCTGTCGGGCCTCATTGGGTAGCCAGAACCACCTTCGCCGCCTGCACTCTCCTGGAGCCCTCCGCATGCTGCTTGGCCTTTACCTTCAGCTCTTTCCTTAACGTTGGTCTTACAAGGCAAAATCTGCTGCTTGAGAAAATGGTCAGAGTATGTCAGAGGGGTTCGCAAAAAGACTGCAGACTGCCCAAGTCGCTCTTGGCACGCTAGCTTCGTACCATGGGCTTGCTTGTCCAACTGCTTGGGCAACCACTTGATCGCTGCTTTGGTCGAGTCGATCACCATCAGCACGTTGAACAGGGTCATCAGAACGAAGCCCACTAGCCCAACGCAGAGGAATGGCAGGTCGCCACGTCCGTGGAACACCATCATCGCAGAGAGCGCTTGGGACACCCATGTGTACCCGCGCACGAGCCACATAGTCAAGAGCTGAACCAGCACGATGGCCTCGCACAGACAAGCACTACAGTAGCTGAACGCGAGATGGCACGACCCGTACATGCAGCATCGATTTACAGCTGGGCTTGCAAAAATATCGTAAAGATCGAGCCAGTGTGATGTTTTTCAATAGCCACACTTAAACAAGCAAACTGCTGCGCGTCAGCGGCCTTATACCGCAAGAGGTCCTGCGGAAAGGTCTGTGTGTCTAGGCTGAACTTGTAGCAGCTCAGCAGGTAGCACATGCCACCGGCAACGAGCAGCGACCACATCAATACATGCAGTGCTCTCAGGGTAGGGTAATAGAGGATCATCGGCAGCGTCAGCATCATGGAGAGCATATGATGCAAGCAAACCATGACAATGAAGTATTTCTTCGGCAGCTGCACGCCCAGGCTTTTGAAGCTGACTGGGAAAAATGTTCTCAGAGTGATTTGCACGCTGTCGTAGGCCGAGTATGCCAGATCTCCCACGGCACCGGCGTAGAACAGGAACTGTCCCACAGAACCTGCCGAGTCCCAGCCCAAAACAACCACTGGAGTTAGGGCCAGGCTCATCACGAGATGATGGGAGCAGATGGCAATCACAAAGCAGTAGCAGTCAACTATGACCGTTTCATCCGCAGTGGTTGACTTGCTGTAACCGAAGTTGTGCATCATGTTTCGCTGCAGTGGGATCATTCGCGAACGCCATGGCTGCCTGTCAACCCAGCTGATCAACTGCTTCTTGACAAGCTCGACCAAGCCTGTCTTGTCAATGTCTCAGAAAGCTTGAGCTGCGCTACAGGCTACATAGCAAGCACCTGCTCACCAAACATGGTATATTATCATATATCTGTATATGTTTTCAAAACAAAGTGTATTTTATGCACGACTATTGTGGTTGCTATTAAAATATTCCCCGAGTTCGGTCTAGGCACAACCGGTTATAACCGCCAGACTCACAACAACAGCGATCACGAGCTTCCAGTGCTGGAGCATGATCGTGTCCATGGCTGACATGGGGCTCAAACTTGCCAGGGCTATTCCAACCTTGAGGATCCACAAAACTGCGCTGACAGGAAACCAACTGCATCATACTCATCCATACCCGCGAGGTTGTACAGACAGGCTTTTTCGAGAGGTCTCTTTATGAAGCATACAAGACTACAGAGGGTGCTCACTGCGACGACAGATCTGACCATCAATGCTTCTCCCAGAGTTACATAGAGCTAAACATTCTAGTTTAGTATGAAAGCTCTGACAAAACCTGTTACAATCGAGTACCTCTGGGATAAGTCGTTTAGGACACTTCCTTGATGAAAACAGGAGGTGGAGTCAGTGTACAGTAATGTCGACGTCACTGAAAAGGGGTTATTAATCGGGAGTGTCTACACGTAGCCCTTGAAAACCGCTGCTATAGCCCTGGAAAAACCCAACACAATACAAACAAGCTGTAAAAAGCCACTGAAAAACCACTTAACACCCTTGCAAAGCTCACTAAACCCTATAATTACCCTGTACCCTTTTTAAGAATAGTCCTTATCGCGAATTCCTGGCCCATCCTCCCCCCCCTGCGGGAGCTGCGCGCCTGCTTCGGCCGAAGCTTCCGGGATTCGTTTCGGCCCAAAGCCTCGCCTTCCTTCAGCTTTGGCGGAGAGGGCTTTAGGGCCTTGGGGCTTTATGGGTTTAGGGTTTAGGGTTTAGGGTTTAGGGCTTTAGGGCCTTGGGGTTTAGTGAGGGTAAGATGGAGAATTTGGGGTTGTGGGGGGTTGAATGCTTTTAGGCTTGAGCAGCTGGCTGTAATTGCCAGCTTAGCCTGAGGGTGTGGAGTTGAAGGTTCGTTGGCATTAAGGGTCTCGGGTTTCGGGCTAGACTATGGTTCTCGTAAGGAGCCCTATTGACGCATATCTTGGGTTCGCTTAGGAATGCGGCAACTGGTCTGCGAGCCGAGGAAGGGACGACGTAGACCGGGTTTGAGCTGATGTTTGTTGCCAGCAACGCATCCTCCTGAACCTTGCGAGGAAGGCATTCCCGGGGAAGCTAAACAAAAACAGCTCCTAGTATATGATAGTCTACTAGACTATAGTCTACTATAGCATACGATAGTAGAGCATACCACAGCATATAGCGTACTCTAGCAACGGGTAGTATACTCGAACAGAACCTTCTGATTGCGGCAACAGCCGGCCCTCCCGGCCTCCAACTGTACGTGGGCTCGCGAGATGAAGCTCATGCAGGCCGTCGACTGACGCAAGCAGCCCTAAACCCTAAACCGTTTAGGGCTCTTTAGGCTGTTGTTGACGCCTCTTTTTTTTGGCTCCCTGCAGGGTTGAGGATTTAGGGTCCAGGGTCTAGAGCTTAAGGGCAATATCAGGGGGGTTGGAGAAAGATAATGGGGACTATAGGGGCATATCATTCTGCAATTGAATATAATAGTATTGAGGAAGCTTAAGAAATAAAATATAAAGAACAATTATATAAATATATGTAATGCATATGTATATATATATATATCCACCATAATTCAAGCAGGGTCAAAAAAACGCTGTCTCGGCTAAGGCGGCTGAGTCGCAGCCGCGCCTTTGGCTTGGTTCGGGGGGGCCCTATCAAGCTGCTTTTTGCTTGGCAAGTCACGACGAGGTTCCACTTTTGCAGAAGGCCACTTCGTGGCAAAAGGCTTACGAGACGACAGGCTTGCTAAAAGCTGCCGGAGCTGGTCGCACAGAGACGAAAAAGGCTCTCAATAGTATGCGGATAGAGTAGAGTATAGTAAAGTATAATATCTCATAATATACCACAATATAAATATGCCCACAATATAAATATGCTCGTATAATTTGTAGAGCAGAGTTGAATTGAGTAGTACAGTACAGTCCAGTACAGCATGTAACAGTACATATACATATACATATATATATATAATATGTAGATAGTAGAGTGTAGGGTAAAAGAGTACGACTGCTCTATGCGAGTTGGCAGGTCTTTGCTCGCGCCAGGCGGCGCTCGCTGCGCCGGAAGCCGGGCGTTCGCGTCAGGACCTCCTGAAAGCGATCCTCGTAGGGCTGGTACGCAGCCACTGCTGCCTCATCCGAAGTGAGTAGGAACTGGGATGAACATCGGGAAGGCATCTGAGTGCCACTACCCCAACGGATAACAGGCAGCCTGGAGAGTGCCTTCACCTCTGTGAAGTGGACGTTGAGGTTCGTCCCGGTGTAGAATGGTTTTCCCATTGCCGCGTCCCCCAGAATCAGGAAAGGCGCCTTTTTTCCCGCGGGCCCCGGTGCCGGTGCGGCACAGACCGCATGGGTCGACGACCAGAAAGACGCATCCACCCAGCGCACCGTGGTCTCTGCCGGATTCAGGAGCTTCTCCTGCAGAGAGGCTGCGGCGGCCAGCATCTGAGGGATCCAACTCGGCCCGTCAGGAGAAAAGCCAAGGCGAGAGAACTCGTTTTCCAGGGCTGCCAGGATGCTTTCGCAGGGCTTTGGCTTCCCTCGGCCAAGCTTCTCTTTGGCAGCCTTTAGCTCCTCCGGAAGGCCCATGAACCACAGCCAGCACAGAGGCTTCGGGGGAGTTGTCGTTGCATCCTGCGCCACGCGGAGGACGATTCGATAGGAAAGGGAGGATGGGCTGCATTGCTCGCCACAGGCACCGGCAGCGGCGGCGCTTCGTGCACAGAAGGTGAGATCCACAGCCGCCAGCTGCTCCAACTCTTGGATCTTCACACTGGCGGCTGACTTTCCTCGCGTGAAGTTTCGCATCTCAAAGACCAAAACCTCTTCACTCTCGCCCACATGAAGATCGCAGGACATCTCAGCACGAGTGGCGTCGTCCAGCGATCGCCGGCCTCCTGCCCATAAGATCAGGTCCCAGTCTGCTTCGGCGGCAATCTCCTCTGGGCTTGTTTTGCTTCCAAACCGAATGCTGTTCGAAGCTCCCAGTCGCCGCCATTGGTCCAGGAGGATCGACTCGATCTCTGCCAGAGCCATGCCCGACTCGAATCGCTTGGACTTTGTGTGCTTGTTCAGCAGAGCAACCTGGCTTTCAAGAGTTTCAACTTCGTCTGCTCTCACACGAGATGCACTCTAGTCACAATGCACTATGATTCGGGGCCGCGGCAACTTGATCTGAGCTAAACTAGAATCATGCACCCTTTTCAAGTGTCTGCATGTGTCGAGAGGAATCCTTCACGGGCCTATCTCAATGGTGTGGACCCGCTTCACTTGTTTGCGAGAGCGAAAATCGCAGCTGGACTTGCCATCTACACCACAGCTCTAGATTCTAGACCCAAGCCCACTTCAGCCATCCAAGCCAAGCAGTCCCAACCGGGTACTGATTCGGGCAGGCAACTGTGTGGGCATCCAGTGTGATGCGTACATTCCGGCGGGAACAGTGGTCTTCTTCTGCCCTCTGCTCGAAAATGACAATTTCCGGAGCATCCTTGCTGCGAATGAAGCCCGAGGCCTTTGCAGCTTTGGCTGCCACGGCTCCGTTGCCCGCAGCTGATCGCCGAACACGGCGTGCATGCCGCAGCATGATTAAGTTTGCTGCCCAGAGTCCCACAGGGCCAGCACCTGCGATGGCGATTCGCCTGCGCCGTGTCGCTTTTCCTGGTGCTTTCCCACCCCTTTCGACTTCTGAAAGACCTGTGCCCACCAGCTCGCAAGAATCTGTCGCGACCGGAGGGACGTCCTCGACGTCCTTCGCTACCCGTGCGGCTGTTGCACGTCTGAAGGCCTCGAGGTTCACTGAATAGCGGCACTGGCCCAGGGCCTTCTGTCGCCGCTCCTCCTGCTTGGCCCGTCTTCGAGCAGCGAGCTGCTCCTGCACCCTCTTTTGCGCACGGGCGACCGGGTCTTCTAAGAGTGAGCTCGTGGCCGCTCTGCGCAGGGCCCCCGCACGAGGTCTCCGCTTGAGGAGCCCTTGCGAGCGAATGGCCGCCCCCTGCGTTTCCAGCTCCCTCTCTTGGTGCTCACATCCGTCGAACTCGTCGCCACTTAGCTCCTCGAGGGGTGCAGTGTCGCTACTTGCATCGGAACTCTCTGCACAAACCTCACTGTCGGAAACCACAATGTCGGAGTCGACCTCTTCCGACTGAGCAACGGTCTCCGAAGGCTCTGAAACGATGCACATCTCTAGCATTCCACTGTGCACCGATTTGCTGTGGCCATGCCTTAAGCATCCACGAACGAAGCCGCCAGCAACTTCATCATGTAAGTCGGCAGCGGAAGCTACATCGAATTCTCGAGCACATAATCGCAGAAGTGGAAGGACTGTCAAGCAGCCGGCTTGCGTCGCAACAGTCTTCGTGACCTCTTCCGAGATCTTAAATGCCAGGGGTTGAAGGAATGCATATGCAGCATATGCATGTATGAAGTGTGAACCTGTTTTCTGAATCCAGGTCTGCAGTAGCTTTTACGAGTGTGCGACACCTTCAAATTACTTTAGTTCTGGATTCCTTTCTCGACGAGGCCTTGGCCAGAAGCGTTTCCAGCTCTTTTGCCTGGTGCTGCCGACCTGCACGACGCATGACATCACGAGGAACCCGTCTCCCAATGTTGACCGAGGGATTGCTGATGATTCTTGTCTAAGAAAAGTCGAGCCGAGAAGGGAACTCTTGCTGAGAGTTTTGTAGCCTTCGAAAGTTGAGGGCAAGCACAAGCTGCCTATGACCAAAGGCTCGTCCTCATCGACGATGAATTCCCGGACCTAGGATCAGCACAACATGTCAGACCGCGCTGCTGTAGGGATGATCCTCCATGCGATGCGGGGCCTGACTCTTTGCTGATGGAAGCCGGGGCGTGCTACGCCACACTGTATGTGTATGTGCAGGACAGGGTGCGGGATCCACAGGCAAGGATCGCTACTGTGCGGAAACAACCAACCCTTCGTAAGTTCACAGCACAGAGAACGAGTCTATCACGGGCCACTTGAATGACATGCGGAGTCCGAGCTCCCGAACCAAGAACCCTAAACCCTAAACCCTAAACTCTAAACTCTAAACCCTAAACCCTAACCCCTAAACCCCGAAGCACCAGAACCGGGTGATTGAGGCGGCAGGCGCTGGGAGAGAGGTTGGACAGCTCCTCGCCTTGGCGCCGGGCACTGCATGACCCATACGTTTAGGGGTTTAGGGTTTTGGGTTTAGGGTTTTGGGTTTAGGGTTTAGGGTTTCTATGAACATACGTGTTTGTGGTTTAGGGTTTCGGGTTTAGGGTTTAGGGTTTAGTGTTTGTATGAAGGAACCCATGGTAAGCCATAGTACAAGTAGGTCTTCCCTGGACTCGATAGAGGATATGTGTATGCATGATATACGCATGTGTAAATCACACACACATGTATATATATATATATATATGTACACATATTTTGAACTAACACCACTTTGCTACGATGATTGTCATTGTGGGAGTAGTCAGACTCAGCTTGAAGGAAGCGCTATCAACACGATAAGTGTCACTCTTACCATAGTATCATCATTGCTATTTCTTTGTGCCTCCACTGCTGAAGCTGATCCTATCACACAGTATGGCTCCAAAGTTTGCAGCACCGTAAAGCAAAGCACGAAGCTTGGAACGTGGAAACCGGATGATTTCTGCCGGCTTTCCCATCGTTCAAGATATGGGATTGGGGATTACGATGCTCGGACTTTGTCGCTTCTGCATTGCTAACCCCCACAAGTCAAGGGGCATCAGCCACCCAGCAACACCTTACCCCTATCCCCCAAAACCCTGAGCTCCTGAACTTGGTCCAAACCCTCATGCCTCCAACCTAAAGACCAGAGGGCCCCATTTCGTCTCCCCACAACCTACGTCCCAACCTCTAACTCCTAGCCCCTGTGTCCTAATGTCCTACTGCCACAACACCATCATTCCGATCCTCTTATTCCTATCCCTAAACCCCTTCTTTCTATCCCCAAAGCCCCTAAACCCAAACTAAACATCCCGATGCCACCCCCCACGCCCTCAACCCCAAAGCCTCGTCCTTAAAACCTAAAAGCCCTAAACCCTCATCCTCGGGTCCTCAGGTCATAGACTGTTTTGAATTTAAAACCTAAATCCTAAAGGCCCTAAACATCCTGAGGTCCTCAGGTCATAGACTCAATGTCAGGGGGCTAAGTCCCTCCACAAAGGAGCAGCGCAAGACCCAGGGGCAGCTTCCCACTCGCTCCTTTGGCAATTTGAGGGGCTTTTTTCTGAAAAATTCATTCCTGGGAATTTAGGGTTTAGGGTTTAGGGTTTAGGGCTCTACTTCTGGTTTTTGGAGGATTTTGAACCCTTGTTTCCATTCTGCACAGCTGCCCAGCTGCTTTCAACCTTATGCTTCGGGGTTTAGGTTGGATCATAGGGATCACGTCATAGGATTTAGGGCCTGGGATTCGAGGCTTGGGATTTCGATGCTGATTGATGCACTCTGCCTCGGGGGCCCTTCTTCTCTGGTCTTGAAAGAAAAGCTGATTTTAAGTCACGGCAAATTACAAGCCATGGTTTGTAGATTCGGTTCGGGCTAAAGGGCTCGGAGCTTATTGGGCTAGTGGCCGTTAGATTAAACTTTCTTAGTCTTCAACTTGCAACCGACCCGCTCAATTTGACGAGTCTTGCTAGCAAGTGACACCTGTTAGCCTGAGCCTGGCAGCGTGTACCATCTGCACAATCACGTAGCAGATTCCCTGACAAATCAAAACCACTACAAAAACTAGAACATACTATAGACATCTACTCTGCCAGTATACTCTAGTCGTCCACTTTCACAACATAACCATACCTATATATATATATATACATATATATATATACCCCCGCAAGCCCGAAACCCACGCTAGCCGGGCTCCTCTCCGAAGTCCAGGACCGCTGTGGGCGCTACGGCCGCCCCGAAACTTTCCACCGTCGCCGCCCGGCTGAAGCGAAGGCGAAGGAATAAAGACAGCCTCGGAATGGAATATATATATATATATGTTAGTGTAGTGTAGCATTGCAATATGCTATCATATAGGGGCTTGGGATAAAAATAACCACATCACTCCTCTGACATTGGCCCAACACCTTTGACGCCTGAACCCCAAAACCTCAATTCCTCAACCTTGAATCCTTAAACCTTGACAAACCTTCAGAACGCACCGAAGTGCGTGTTTGAGTTTGAGCCTGGCGTTCATGAAAGCTTCGGCAACACCGGTTCCTCAAGAAAGCTGAAAGTTGCCCTAAATAGTCGACTTAAGCACGGTGTAGGGTGAGGGTTAGTGTTAATCAAGCCCAAAACCCTAAACCCGGCAACCCTGAACCCCAAAACCCTAAAACCCCTGAAGCCCTAAACCCTCAAACCCCTAAGACACCCTCCATTCTGGCTGCTTCTGAGGGCCAAGCTCCCCGGTCTGCGAATACGGGAAGCCCACCTGTTGCGGGTTTCCAAACCCGAAACCCGTAACCTTAAACCGTGGGGCATGCTTTACAGTTGTTGAAAACTGATTCACTATAGGGCCGTAGCCTAAATTTTACAAACCTCTAGAGCCAGCCCTTGCACAAGCCCCTAAGATCTAATCTCCGTAAACCTGTAAAACTACAGACGCCAAACGCTGGACCTTGAACCCTAAACCCCTCAAAAAAAGAGACATTCTCCCCCTTAAGTCCCATAGATTTATATACTGCGATATACACCCTCTCCCTATTCCAATATCCCGGAAGCCTTGACTTCATTGAGATCCGGAGGCCCAAAGCCCATAAGCCCCCTTCGTCACGCAACAAATAGTCTCAAAGCTCCCCGAAGCCCAGAAGCCCTTCAACAAAACGGTTTCGTTTAGAAAAGATCCTAAAGCTCGAACACTCTTAGATGCCATTGAATTCTTGATTATGGGCTGTTTTAAAACGGTAGGGTTGAAGTTTAGGGTTTAAGGTTTAAGGTAGATACAGGGGGCTCAAGGAACAGTATTCCTTTCCTTTAATACGATTATAGTATGATATACACCACAACCTATTTCGAAATATTGGGGGCCCTTCTTTCATCATTGTCATACTTGTTTATTGTGATGATTATGAGTGGTGATACTATTATCAGCCTATTATCAACATTCTTCTTGTGATTGTTGTTGCTACTATCACCACCACCACCACGACGACGACGACGACTACTATTACTACTACTACTACGAACCACTACCACTACTACTACCACCATAATCAAAAAAAGGCCCCTACCTTATGCCCCAAGCGCTGCTGCCTCGGAGTTGAGGTCCAAGGCCATGGACTCGCCACGAGCCAGGATGTGGCCGTTCAGGGTGATGGGGTTGTTACCTGCGTCTCATAGGGGTCAGAAGGGGGTTCCTTAAAGGCTTTCATTGGGGCCCCTTTGAGGTTCCTTTAGAGGGTTTCATAGGGCCGCTTTGGGGCTCCTTCAAGGGTTTTATAGGGCCCTTTCGGGCTTCCTTCGAGGGCTTGATAGGGCCCTTTCAAGCTGCTTTCAAGGATTTGGATTAGTTGGGGTTTGGCACTGGCTTACTCAAAGGATCGCATCTTGCGGGGGGCGTGCGTGCGGTTGTGGGTTGATGTGGCCTTTCGAAGAACATCGCACGAAGCTGGAGGGCCAATCACAGCCAAATCGGAGCATCCCGGACGGCTGCAGAAGCAGGGATCCGGAATCTTGACGAATCAGAACAAAAACCCGGATTTCTGTGGGAAAGGATTCAGCTGAGTCTTCAAGCCGGCAAGGGTTCATACGGAGCATGCACCCTCGCCACAATCTGAAGTCCCGCCGCTGCTGACAGGGTATCTCCTGCTGGTAGGTTGGGTCACATCTCTCCAAGAGCTCAGCTCGTACAGGGCATCTGCAAGTAAGGATCCAGCAGAATATGAACTCCGGCTTACAGTATCCTCCACAGCATCCTCAGGAATTCTGAAACCCTACGCTGAGGGGCCTTTCGCCGAGATCTGTATGTCGGAGGGCCCGGGCGCCCAGCTCACCTCTGCTTGAGATCCCGCTCTCTGCGGGTTTAGGGTTTAGGGTTTAAGGTTCCACGGAGGCCCTTGGATCTTGAATCTTGAAAGTTCAGAGGCGTCATGCAACCCAGGATGCTGTGAGGGGCTCAAGGTGGGGACCCTGGAATATCCCCACCTAACTTCTCCTGACGGAGTTCGGTAAGCATGCTTCATCTCGATCTGTTTGCTGACCCGAAGGGTCTCTGCGTGCGAGTGCGCAGATGTATATGCAAGTTTCGCATCAGTCACCAGTAGTAGGACCCAAAGCATCGGATGCCTGGTGTCTACTCCATAGATACTCGCAAAACTTCTCTGGAGCATGTAGCAGCAAGCCTAGACTCTCTCAGGAAATGCACCGCAACACCCTGAACACCCCAAACCCTCCGCAGGCGGGGAGAGGGGCGGGTCGAAACTCTTCTCCCGGATCCTGCCTCGAAGGAGAGTCTGGAGACGCAGCTGTTCAGTTCCGGATTCTGCCTGGCTCGTGTCTTTGAGCTCGGAGCGAAGTTGCGGCAGCATACGCTATGATACGCTTACTAATCTTGATTTCAGCCCAGACCTGCATTAGGAGTGCCATCCTGAGTCGCGGACAGCCAGGACTGAAACAAGTCCGGCTGGTATTGGCGTCCAACTGGCCTCAGTGTCGCGCATGTCCCGAGCTCTGTCACATTCACATTGGCACCACTGTCCCTATCGTGAAGTCAACTCCAAGCTCCCGGCGCAATGAGGCGTCCAGCCACCTGACAGAGCCAAGCGCGTAGCTTCAAGGCAATGTTTGCGGTGCTTTCCACCCGGGAGAATGCTGCTTGCCTAACCCATGCTGGGGCCTCGCCAGAGACCATCAGATGCAGAAACCTCCGCTGCTGTGGAAGGTTGTCCACCTTCGGAGGTTCGGGCGTGGTTTCACACACGCCGGCTTCGGGTTGAGAAGCTCATGTAGCTTGAAACCGAACGCACTGTCTGCCGGATCAACCTCCTGCCAAACTGCAGGGCAAGTCGCAGGAGCCCTGCGAGGTCTCAACATGAAGCAGAATGACCCAAAACCCCTGCAACCTCCAAACCTTGTTTCACCCCTGCCACGGGAGCCTGGAGGCCATCGCTCGAAATGAGCTCCAGAGAGAACGGCGAAGGACCACTCGGGGACGGCCCTGAGCCCTGCGCTTTCTTGGGCTTTCTAGTGCTTTATGCTTCACAGGGTTTCTAGGTTGCTTTGTGGTAATTTGTGGTAATGTATAGCTGCAGGCTTTTTTTGTTACGGGTTTTGGGGTTTGGTACTCGAGGTGCAGGATTTTGGTTTGTTGCGGACTCTGAACCGACGTGAATCGAAGTTGAGAGGTCTGATGACGATGACTCCGTGTTTGCAGATGTGGCTCTTCTATCAGGACAAACATTGAAACTGCCAGGGCCGCTACTGCGAGGGAACGGGATACTCGCCTGAGACATCTCCTGCGAGTTCAGCTGATCCACGTAGCCACTGTTCTGACCTCGATGGTCAGACGCCTTTGGATGCTTTGGCTGGTGCGCAGCAGCTGAGGCCACCACAAGAACTCGTGCCTGCCTCGGGCCGTGGATACTTCTCGCCGAGCTGCCGCAAGGATCGAACCACCTGCCCGGGCAGCACATCCAAAGGCAGTGCACTGAGCCATTACGCAATGTCACACGACCATGTGCCCTAAAAAGAGGAGTTTCTCTACAGGTCTCAAACCCCCAGTGAACAAGCACCTGGAAGTCCTGAGCTGTGCACCGCAAACTCGGCCTCAACGAACTTCGGCCGCAAATTCTCATCGTTAGCATTCACGCAGCGGATGCCGAGACCCGACAGGTCCTGGCCACGACTTGGCTGAACGAGTGTCTTCGTCATGAATCCTACGCATCCAATATTGGTAGGTTTCTATGCAAAGTTAAGATAAGGCTCTGCGCGTTTGGGGAAAGGACATACAACATGCTACAATGCATTTACATGTGATGGATCCCGCCGCAGCTGCAAGTAGAGCAGTAGTCCGGCACTTGCACTCGTAGCTGCGGAGAGTGGCAGGACTATTGACTAGTGGTTACACGAGCTTCTCCTGACGATGGTTCTTGACAAGATCCACCAGTGCTGATGTGCATGCGTCGGTGCGTCTCAGCGCCAAGTGCCGCTTGCAATTCCTCTCCGCAACTCTTTGCTGGTCCTCGGCCAATCCCTTTGGCCATCCGGCCGTCTTATCTGCTGCGTTCACCTGGGCCGTGGGGATGGGCTTCCGAGTTTGGGATGCAGATGGCTTCAGGATTGAGGCATAGCCGGCATAGAACCGTTTAGAGTACTTGCTTTCGGCGGCATCCCAGATGTAAAGCATAATGGACCCCCCAAAACCTCTTCCATCCAGCTGGACTGATGCTCAGGGTTTGTCCAGGCTGGTATTTTGGTTTCGTCTGTATCGAATTGCTACGTAGCTCGGCGATTCCCTTTGCGAGCTTCTCCATTTATTGTCTTGACAGATACAAGGGTCCAGGGTATGACGGGTATGAGTAGGAGTTGACACAAGTGACTGGGAGTGGAGCAGCAGGCTTGCTGTGGCATCGGGGTTAAAATGCCGATGCCTGCTAGAATGCTCAAGCTGAAAACCCTTTAAGCCCCAACCACAGCCCTACTAACCCTGGGTGCCGGGCACAGCGCTCAACTGCTCCAGGCGAGCACGGAAGCAGCTGGGTCTCTATTGGATAGGCGATGCCTTGGCCGAAGGAAGGGCTCTGCTGTCTAGGGCTTTGGGGCTTTGTCTGGGTTTAGGGCTCTGCTGTATAATTTGGGCAACTCCTGTGGCAAGTCTTGGAAAGGTTAGAAGAAATTTGCCAAAGACTTCTGACAAGCTTGCAGTCACCAGGAGCAAGTTGCCAGCAAGATCTGATCAGCCCTGAACCCTAAACTCAACCCTTAACTTCCTAAGCCCTGGAACAGGGAAACCCCTCAACCCGTAACCCCCCAGCCCTACACCCTAAGCCCTGGACCCTTAGCCCAGAAGCAGCTCGCTCAAAGCAGCTGACTCCGAGCGTCCCACCGCCGGGCTTGGAAGGGTCTGCTGTGGCCGGTGGGATGGCTGTCAACACCTCTAAAATGACCATGCCAAAGCTGTAGACCTGACCATGGGCCGATGGGCTGGGAGCGTGTCGCTTTGAAGGGTAGCATGTCGCATTGAAAGGTTCGGCGTTTTGGGGCTTGCTGAAGAAAGCTCCCGAGGAACGGAATCTCTCTCTCTCTCTCTCGTTCTCCCGGGCATGAGGAGCTGGTCAGTTACCAGTTCACCAGCCAACTTATCTCCCTCTCTCTCCACCGTTTTCTGCTGGGCTTGGGGGATATTCGAGATCTCGCCACCTCTCTCCCTCGCTTTACGTCTCAGGTCTCTCTCACGCGCAAAGGCTTTGTTCTGCGCTAAGGACCCACATCACACCATCACTGCCTCGCCTCGCTGAACTCGGTGACCCGGCCCGTGCGGGCGTAAATCGGGCAAGCATACCCGGGAGTTCCGCTGATGGTCTTCACCTCTCAGGGCGAGCTTTGGCGCATGTTGGATGCCACAATCAAGAACAGAATAGTGATATCGGCCCCGGCGACTTCTATCACATGGCACAACGATCAGCTGTCCATGCCTACCCGTCTCATATCCATCCCTCCCACCTTATGCGGTTCCTACACTCCAACCTACATCAACACCTGAAGCCGAGTCTGAATCTGAACCCCAAACCCAAAACCCTCCAAAGAATAGCCTGACCAGCCCTAAACCCTCAACCCTAAACCCTAAGGCCGAAACCCCTACAAACCCCCAAACCCTCAACCCTGCTTAAACCCCAAGCCTAAACCCTAAACCCTAAACCCTAAACCCTAAAGCCTAAACCCTTTAAGAAGCCGGCCTTGACGTGGCTCCCACTCTGTCCCTGCCCGGAAGAGGTGCACGAGAGCCCGAAGTCGGCCATCTTCGCTGTTCCGTGCCTTGGGCTCTGCAAAGTAGGGCAACGCCATTTTAGGGCTTGTAGGGTTTATAGGGTTTAGGGATTTAGGGGTTTAGGGGTCAGAGTTAGCGGTTTAGGATTTAGGGTTGAGGGTTTAGGGTTGAGGGCTGTGGGTTCAGAGTCGAGGTTTTAGGGGTTTAGGATTTAGGGTTGAGGGGTTTAGGGATAAGGGTTGAGGGTTTAGGCTTGAGGGTTTCGAGTTCAGGATTTACGGGTTTAGGGCCTAGGGGTTTGGGGTTCGTGAGTCGTACTTCTTTGCTCCAACCTACCAATATTCTTCGTTACGTGCTACTATGTTTCCATCACCAAATGACATATGTCTGTATGTATGTATGTATGTGTGTGTGTGTGTATGTATGTATGTATGTATGTATGTATGTATGTATGTATGTATGTATGTACATATATGTATTTATGTATGTATGTATGTATGTATGTATGTATGTATGCATGCATGTATGTATGCATGTATGTATGTATGTATGCACGAATGTATGAATGTATGTATGTATGTATGCATGCATGCATGGATGTATCATGTATGTATGTATGTGCATGCATGTATGCATGTATGTATATGTCATGCTCGTCCGCCTTGAAGGTTTTAAAAAGGCTGGCCCTTGGCCCCTGGAGCGCAGGTGCTTTAGAACATGCTGGGGTGGCCCCTCCCCACCTCCCACCTCCCACACTTCCTTCCATGAGTCGTTAAGGCAACAAACCCCTTGAAGCCGTTGAAAGTCCTGGCTTCAGTTCCCCAGCCGCGAATTCCTGTCGGCAGCACTGGAACCGTCTTGCCAGCTTCTGAAAAATATGTAGTCTCTCGCCTCTTGTGAAGGCTGCTGTCTCTCTGAGCTCAAGGCCGATCTAAGAGGATGTTGGCAGCTTTGATGTCCTGGCAGGGCTGCTGCTGTCAATGCAAGAGCTGGGCCGCCTGTCACCCGATCAGGGTCTCTACTACTGTATTTCAAGATGGGGGCTTGACGATGGACGTCGACGGACGCCCTCAAATGAGCTACTGCAGCTACGAGAACCAGACACCATCGCTTGGCACCAATTCTCGCAGCACCTTCGGGTTTAGGACCTAAGAAGCTGAGGCTGCGGCTCGATGAAAGGCTTTTGGCTTGGAGTTGTGCATGTGTGAGAGGCCCGAGGCCGCGTCTAGCAGTGCGCTTATCCGCTCATACCTGAGCTGAGCGCACCCCAGAATCAGAAAAACTCTCAGACATCTAGGTGAGTTCGAAGAGCAACAAAGCTGAGCTCGAGGCCAGATGAAAGGCGTGGGATTGTCACGCCTGCGGCTCTTCAGAAGACGGTCGTAGACATCGCCCCCGGTCATGAGCTCGTAGACTAGGTAGCGGAACCTCGTAGATTCGGCATCGCAGGACAGGTGTTCGTTGAGATGTGCAGCTGAACTGTACAGGCTTTATGAGCCAAACCGACCTACATACATACATACATACATACATACATACATACATACATACACGCATGTGCAGCCTGGGAAATCTCTGCACCCAAAGCTTCTACATTCGACTTCCAGGGTGGTCTCGCCCTCGGATTTCGGAAGATAAAAAATTTGAATACCTCCTTAGGCTCGAGTCCTAAGCTGTGAAGGAAAGGCATCTAATCTAATGATGCAAAGGCCAGACCAGGGTCTCGGGCTGTTCGTGCTTCCCCCAGCCGATGAGAGTCACGAGGTTCGGATGGCGAAACCTCAGACGCCATGGCCACGAAAAGGGGCCGTCGTTAAGCGCTGAGGCGCTCTTCCGAAAGCTGTTCTGTTTTGAAAAGGTGAGAAAGAAGCCTCAGCGCGGCACTTGCTCAAATTCTTCACCTCCTCCTCGAAACCAGCCATATCCTCTGTCCTGGGAAATGGTGGGGCTTGAAGGGAACTTGGGCCAAGTCGAGCCTGCTCCGCGTGGAGCCCCAGCCCTTCCTGTCCCTGCTGTCAGCCAGCGCGAGTTTCGCCCAAACGAAATATACAGAAAGCCGTCCGAAACCTCAAATCCCCCTCCCAATGCTAACTCCCCCAAATGCCAAACCCCTAAAACCCTAACCCCACCACAAACTAGGGAAGGAGCTGCCCGGCAGCGCCCAGTGCACCGAGATCGATCATCTTAATGGCGACTTCGGAGCCATCCTCAACGGCACCGAGAAGAGCAGGGAGGGCACAGTAGACTAGTAGGGGGAAAGCAGTCACAACATGCAAGAATAGGAAGAACACGCCACTAACAAGCTAATAAGTCTTTGCTATCCACATGTATGTAATATGTATGTGCGTATGTTTGTGTTTGTGTTTTCTTGTATCATACACGAAAAATACTGCATGCATGTATGTATGTATGTATGTATGCATGTATGCATGCATGCATGCATGCATGCATGCAGTATGTATGTATGTATGTATGTATGTATGTATGTATGTATGTATGTATGTACGCATATATGTATGTATGTATGTATGTATGTATGTATGTATGTATGTATGTATGTATGCATTTGTGTATATGTGTATGTAGAAAACACCATTAATAACCGCAAGAGTAATCTTGATGGATGCTCAATACTGAGCTAGATCGGCATTGCTCTGACTGAGGCATGCACAAACTATCCCTTTCCTGCCTCCATCTCCCCTTTGAAAACAGCGCCATATGAGCCACTGCCCAGCTGGCGGCTCTTGCTCCAGTCCCTCGTGGCGGCTTTAAGCTCCTCGAGGCGCGGCACAGGGCAGGGCCAGCCCATACCGAAATGATGCCAGGAAGTCCATAAGGGTTGCTAGAAGGGGTACTCTCATGGGCCCATACTGGGAATCAGTGAGAGGGTTGCTACAAAGGCTATCGCTTACGCATCAGAAGAACGTCAGTGTTACAACAGCTTGTGGTTCAGAACCGATACTAGCCTTGCAATCAAACTGTTCTTCCAAAGCTTGCGGCAGCGCATATTGGTGCTACTGCGGGGATGTGTTCTTGTGGGCTTTGGGGATTAAGTTTAAGCTGAAGGGGGAGATTGCGCATTGAAATTTTAGATGTGGGCAGAGCGAGAGGAAGATTTGGATGGAACTGAGACAGAACACGAAGGTAAACTAACGCACAGACAGACAACACACACACACACCGACAGGTACATAGATACATCGATACATAGATACCATTGTGACATCTTACATACATACATGCATACGTACGTACATATACCTTATGTAGATAGATAGGTAGATAGATAGTTAGATAGATAGGTAGATAGATGCATAGATAGGTAGATAGATAGATAGGTAGACAGATAGATGCTAGATAGATGGATAGATAGATAGTTAGACAGACAGACAGATGGATATTTAGACAGATAGGCATACATGTACACGTATGCACATAGGCACGCATGCACATATCGTGTATGAGTGTAGATGCAAACGTGAACACAAACACAAACACACGCACACACTGACAGACACAGACACGAACCCCCGCCGACATTTTGCATTTTGTCTTATCATATCAAATGACATTATTTACTCTATTCGATTCGATTCTACTATACTAGTTTAGACTATACTATACTATACTATAGTGTACTATACTATATTTTACTATACTAGATTATGCTAGGCTATACTATACTACACGGTACTATACTATACTGTACTATACTATACCATACTATACTATACCAGGTCATATTATACTCTACTGTACTATACGACAGTGCTATATTGAATTAGATTATACTCTATTCTGCTACATTCATTCTATTACATGGAATTCCAGTATAGTACGACAGTGCTATATTGAATTAGATTATACTCTATTCTGCTACATTCATTCTATTACATGGAATTCCAGTATAGTATAGCACAGTATGTGGTATTATACTGTATGATGTTATACTTTATTAAGCTATCTGAGATTACATTAAACTTTATAAACTATCTCATGTAAGATTAAGCTCGACACAAGTATACATATATAGAAATAAGATACATACTGGACCCGAGCCTCGTAATTGTAGCGGATAGCAATTTCAGCGAGCATCTCGCTCACCCGGACCGTTGGCCGACGCTGGGACTCCGAGACCATCGTCACCATCCTCGGAATCAATGTGATAGGACTTTTGGGTGTATGTTTTGTTATAGTGTATGGTAGTATGTTTGAATTGTTCTGATTTGGGGATCCGGCTCTCCATCTTTACAGCATGCTTCGGAAATCTCCAGCGAACCAAGATGCTTCAAGACTGCGCGCAAACAGTTGCTGTCGGGTCATGTTGCACCTTCCAAACCGTTATGCAGTGTTGGACAACAGTGTCATCATCATCCTCATCACCATCATCATCATAATCATTCTTATCATCATCAGCAGCATCGCCATCATCATCATCATCATCATCATCATCACCATCATCATCATCATCATCGCCATCATCGGCATCATCATCTTCTTCTTCATAATCCGCATCATCGGCGGAAATGTGATCATCATCGCGAGCCTCACACGAAAGCATGGTCGTCGCCGTCGTCGTCATCAGCTTCTTCACGTAACCATCAACAGCATCATGCGCCCCGGCGCGATAATGTATTTGTGTATGTATATATATATATGTATACACGTGCATATATATATATATATATACATATATATTGTTTATTTATTTATTTGTATGTATATACATCTGTATATATGTGTGTATGTATATATGTATATGTATATGTATATATGTAACAATGTAAATATGTATACATGTATATATGTAACAATGTAAATATGTATACATGTATATATGTATATGTGTATGTATGTATATATCGATACAGACATTCTTACACGCATATAAAGATATGTGAAAACATGTTTGTATTTATTCTGTATCACAACCAAAGCAAGATGCCCGATTCGGGGAGCCATGATCGCCGCGCCGGGCGCCATCGCTTGCCTGGGCGCCTTGAGCGCCATCCCGGAAATCCGGAAAGAGCACTTCGGCACAAACCTTAAGTCGATCTGCTTCTGTGTGGCTGCAATGGACAAAGACCTCTGCGGTGCTGCTGCAGGTGACGGTGATAAGGGAGTGCTGGAGGTTCCGTCTGTTTTCTGGTAGACAGATTGGATTCCGGACAAAGGAGAAATAGCAGAGTCGAGTCGCCCAGTGCGACTGGCTTGGCAGAATGTCCGATCTAGAATCTAGATAAGGACCCTTGAGATTCGCCCCCCCGGTGCTGTGTCGTTGGATCCTTTGTGGACAAGCACCCCTACATGCCAAGAGGTCTGCCTCTACTTGCTCGAGGAAGGAAGCGCAAGCCACACATCAACTTCCCATGGTGATGGCACGCGCGGCAGGTGGGTTCCACACGTAATACATACTTCTGTATCTGCCCTCCTTCCTGAAGGCGACAGGCCTTGTTTGGCGCGTAAAGTCCTGTTACAAAGGCCTCAGCTGCGCTCTTTCTTGACCACGTGCAGGCTCGCAGGTTCAAGCCCAATCTTCATCGGGCGATATGTTCGTGGTATGATGTCACTACAGCAGCCACTCTTTCCAGACATCACGAGGCACGATGACGAGGTAGCTCGGCTCAGCTCAAAGCACACGCAGACAGATCAGGTGGTTTCTGCGGTGTCATCGCTTTAATTCTGACAAACGAATTTTGCGGGCAACGACGCACACTGCCAGGTCTCCTCTGACGCTGACTTCTCAGAAAAAACCAGAGGTGGCCTGCCAAGCGCGGTGCTGTGCTTGAATTATCGCATGGTGTCGCCCTGCGCCATGCCGGTAACTTTCCGCACCGAAATCCCTAAATCCCCAGACCTTAAACCCTAAACCCCTAAACCCTGTAAACCCTATAAGCCCTATGAGCCTAGAACCCCCCATAAGCCCTAAAGCCCTAAACATCGATGGGGCGGCACGCGGCGTTCACTGCGCTACTGGCTGGACCGGAAGCCGAGCGCCGTGGCTCCCGAGCTGGAGATCTCCTCAAATCAGGCTTTGGTTCGGGTTTGGGGTTGGAGGGCTTAGGGTTTAGGGTGTAGGGTTTAGGGTTTAGGGTTGAGGGTTTGAGGTTGTGGGGTTTATAACCTTTAGGATGTACAGGGTTTGGGGTTGTAGGGTTTAGGGTTTAGGGTTCATAATCTATAAGCTTAGGATGTATAGGGTTTGGGTTTGGAGGATTTAGGGTTTAGGGTGTAGAGTTTATAAGGTTTAGGATTTATAGGGTTTGGGGTTCTAGGGTTCAGGGTGTAGAGTTTAGGATTTATCGGGTTTGGGGTTTTGGGGTTTAGGGTTTTAGTTCAGGGTTTAGGGTAGGCTCCAAGGTAATGCTGTTTAGGGGTTCGGGGTTTTCGGGGTTGTGGGGGTCTAAGGTTTAGGGTTTGAGTGTTTGAGGGTTTTCGGGCTTTTGGGTTGTGGGCTTTAGAGTTTTGAGGGTTTCGGGCTTGGTGGTTGGAGGATTTGGAGTTGGGGCTTTGGGGTTCAAGGCAAATCTCCTGTTTGTGTCTTGCTGGTGGTTTCAGGCTGCTTACCGGTTGGGGCTCCAGAAGAAACAATTTTGCGGGTACAGCCTAAGACTCCAAGGGCTTCGGGCCTGATGTCCACAGCCCCCCGAAGCCCGAATTGCAGAGCAACTTCCCCCGAAGTGGTCCGCAGGTTTAGGGTATAGGGTTTAGGG